ATAGAAGGATGCTCATACCATAATTTGAGTGTTTGATTAAATGAACCAATGAATAAGAAGACAAACTGATAGACTGACAGAAATATTTAGACTGTGAGAACAAAAGAGCTAATGAAGGAAAGCACTAACAACACACACACAAGATCCCGGTCTAATTTTTCCATCTCCAAAACAAATGCCTTGTTTCAAAGTGGGCTTTCTTGGCTTTACTTGAGACATTTCTCCTACCCTCTGCTTGGTTTCTCCTCATTACCGCTGCTGTGGTTGTTGGTCAGAGCCTGTTCCTCCGAGCTGAAGTCTGATTTCAGTGTGAGCTGAAGGTTCTCAGCCGAGACGAGAACGTTTCGCATCACTCCGACGGCCTCCAAGCGCAAGCTGCCCAATCCTCCGTTCATCATGCACATGAACAGAATGACTAAAAAAATCACAAACCACAGCATTAGAGATAATCCAGAAGATCCATACAAAGCCCTGGAAGAGCCATCCACTGCAAGAAGTTCCTCAAGCCTTGCTTATCTTCATAAATCCATTTAGAAAACGTCCAAACGCCATTATGAGATCATCCATTTCTCTAAACCAGCCCAGAAGACCAGACCTAAGAAGCTAAAGCTAAGAGAAAGTTTGACAGCCAATGTCTACTGGTTTCTATAAAGAAGACCAGAGAGGGACAAGACAGCACTATGCTCCAGCCTGACTCGATCATCTGCTTAATGGCCACGTGCAGCAGTCGCACAACCATCCAGTGTGACCATCATCACACACCAATTAGATCCATGAGGTTACAACGGTTCACTCTTTATCATGGACTGAAGTCTGAATTCCCTTACTTTCCTTCAAAGTTCTCCTGAGGCCTGGTCAGTTGTCCGAAGAAGCTTTTCCCTTTTGGTTCTCCATTAGAGAACGATGAAGCCTCAGTTATCGATTGGTTTGAGAAAACCAATCTCAGAAGATCCAGAGCTTGCAAGCTGCGTCCCTTTGAGCGCCAGTTGCGACTTGTAGCCAATAAAGGAAGTGGGTAAAATGGAAAGGAAGTCCATTTAGGTAAAAACAGCACCATCTAAAGAGCTAAGGCGACTCATATCCAATCCGGTCGTGGTAATTCTTGGTGGTTGTGGAAGCGTACAGTCTCTTATCTTCAGACCAAGGCTTTCAACACCTCCGCAGAACCGCATTCTTCACTTGTGTTCATCGTTCACGGCAGGTCTGCTTATCCTGATAACGTGAAACTTCCTCCTGCCAACCAAGGCAACAAAATATAACAAGTCTGAAACAAAAATCAAACCCAAATAGTGAGACGGAGGAAGGAACGGAAAGAACATCGCTGAAAACAGTGGAATGAATCGGTTGGATTGAACAAGAATCACTCGGCTGATCAAGCTGCAAAAAAGTTCATAAGGTGCACCATAAAAGCAGTTCATACAACTCGTACAATATATTCAGAATCTTTTCAAGGCATCTGATAGCTTTCTAAGAGAAACAGATTGAAATAAAGCTATAATTTGCTGATAAAACTCCCTTCTAAGTTGTTGACTCAAGAACTGCTGCAACTGAATCAATGAGTTTAACCTGAAAACTGGAGCAGAAAACAACAACTCATTATTTTATGATCTTTAGATTGAATTATTTGAATTAAACAACAGGTTTTTGAATGAAAGCAGTCCATACGACTCATGCCCTATATTTATGCAAGTCTTCTGAAATCATACGACTGAAATTTAAGTTATAATTTGTTCATAATCTTCCCCTCCACTTGAGAATCGATGCAAATGACTCAATGAGTTGAAACAGAGAACAGAAGCAGTGAGCAAATCTTTCATTTTGAGCCAGTTCTGCAATGAAAGCTGTTTGAGCTAGTTCACAAATTGGATTTAATGAATCACTGATGAGTTGAGTTGACCTGATTTGTTCTAGAATTAAAGTTCAACTTACTAACTCTCTGAACAAACAGGCTCTTGCATGAAAGTAGTCCATACAACTCATGCTCTATATTTGGAGTCTTCTGAAGTCAGCTTTGTAAGAGGAAGGGACCAAAATTTAAGTTGTTATTTGCTGAGAAAAATATATATATACACATCACCCTCCAGTGAGCTACAAACTTACACTGCAAATGACTCAAATTAATCAATGAGTTGAACTAGAAAACAGAAGCTGGTTCTAATGAATAAAAGGGAATGATCTTGATCTAGTTCACAAACTGGACGGAGTAATTAGTTAATGAATCAATATGATTTGTTTATGAATTATTTAAACTCACTGACTCACTATACAGATTCTTGAATTAACAGCTGAGTGAAGAGGAAGATTGTTAGCGAATAATGACTTCATTTTTGATTTGTTAATCACACAATGCGATCATACACCTTGAAATACAGTGCAAGAGTTGTATAGACTACTTTCATATAGCATTTCGTGCCAAGATTACAATGAAAAAGACCTGTGTCTATTAGCCTATCTAATATATCCAGTGGTTGGTTCCACAGAAAAAAAGAAAGCCATACAGGTTTGGCACAACATATAAAAGGGGAGTAAATTAAGATAATTAAACATTTTCTGGTGAACTCTCCCTGCAGTGTTGTTCTCCTTGCGTCTCATTCTCACACTTCTCTCTCTGCACTCATGAGTTCAGTCTTCTGCTTGCATTCATGTGAGAGCGCCAATTCAGTTAGGCCTAAATAACATGAACCATTCTTCCGTTATAACTCTCAACATACCAATAACACACACACAAACCATCCCACCATCAGCTACAACAGAAAACCAGCATCTTGTAATCAGGAAGCGGACATTAAACATAACAGAAAGGAATCCATACGATCTAGTACCAGTGAATGACTAAATAACAACCAGCAGCGAATAACAAATGACACGGTTCTCTTATGTCCCATTAGATTAAACAATTACCAGGCTCATTAAGTAGGAAGCAGGAACAGACTTCCTGTCTAAGGATGGGAATTTGTCATTCAGTACCGTAATTGTTGGAACAGATCCCTTAAAACTAAATGGAGTTGAGATGCCATAGGACGGGGACATGAGGGTTTGACGTCAACCCTGTCTACGGCCTTCACAAAGAGTCTGGAGGAGACAAACACTGAGGCGGAGTAGATAAACACTACAGACAATACAGTATGTAGATCAGTTCAGTCCTGTGAGCTCCAGGCAGCACCTTCTGAAATGCATTAGCACAAACAATAATGTCACGTAGAAGCCAGAGTGAGCCAGGTTTAGTTTCACTAATACTGATGTGATATCTGCATTAAAAGGAAAAATAGTGCTCCGATATTACAACATACTGACCCCATGAGGATGAAGAGGAGGAGGGCAGCAACAAACAACGACATGAGATTGCAAGACAACACAAGATTAAAAATGCTGAACCACCAGAGAATTTTGGGATTTTTTTTAGCAATCTATTTTTTTATTTGCTAAAAATATAATAAAATATATTATATTATAAAATATTATTTTTCTTTGCATTTTATAATTTTTGCTACAATTGTTTTATTTTTAAAAACTTTTTCCTTTAAAACTATTTCTCCATATACAGTACACAAAAACATTCTAAAGAAATAAGTACATTATATACATTCTATCTGTATAGAGAAAGAAAAATATTATATATTAAATATCAAATTAATTATTATGCACATTTAATAAATATTATTAGCCGATATATCTCCAGTTTTGCGAGAAATATTTAATATTTAAATAAAATTATTACTATTTATCCATCTATACTCTTATTTATCCTCTGCTAAATGCAGATGTGCTATATATAAATAATGTAACTCCTCCATTCACTCATAAACATACTTTTGCTGGAAATATTTAACATGTATATCAAATGTAATATGACTAAAAAGTACTAAAACTTTAAAAGTACTAAAACTTTAACTCTTTAATAGACACTTTTGCTACAAAACAATGTACAAAAAAAAA